AGTGTTTTAATAGGGAAGAACCTCACATCGCAGCTATTAGGCAATAAGTCTGCACCCAAAAAGAGAGGTGAACATCTTCACAGAAGTGCGAGTGTGTATTTAGTTGAACCCTGTGGCAAACGTTATTTCTTATCATATGAGACCAGAAAGCTTGTATGAAAAATAATCTACCTAGGACTGTTTATAAGTGGGGCTTGACCCCAAAAAGTGCTAAGCACATCATTTAATCATCTATTGTTTACATCAATGCAATTTAATGAGTTTGAACATTTTAACCTATGGTCGCCACCTGCTAAATTCAAGATTTTGCAGCACTAGCGGTTAACAAATTCTGAAGAGAAGATTGTCATAAAATTGGCTTGTTCATTAGTAAATACTGGGGAAATGGGAATTTAAAACATAAACAAGTGATGATACCAATGGATATGCATATTTCCAAACATACCTGAACAGAATTAACAGATTTTTTTCAGAATTGCATAATCAGCCATATAGGTACAAGTTGTCCAGCAAGCATCATCTTGGAAAACAACTTTAGGGACAGGTATACGCTAGTGTGTCTTACAGTCATACCACTTTAATTTCTGGTTTCAGTAGTTAAACAGATTCAGGCAAAGATAATACTTGAACAGAAGTGCTGTAGAATGCAGTACTATTCAGCAAAAGTGGTACATAGGAACAGTATGACCAGTGTTCCTGCATCATGACTGGGATGACTTGAACACCAGATGTTTTATTAGAGGTGCCCTAAAGCAGAGACAATTGAGTCTAAACCACTTTGCCATATTAGGGATAATTTCATTCAAACAAAGAACAAAGTGGGTGGTGTGTTTGTTTCTTCACCCACCTCCCCAATTGCCTTATGTTTTAATAATCTTAGATGAAAGGCAACTGATTTTTGTCTATTAGCAAGTAGGTAGTTGTACTAATCCTTCATTTTTACTGATGTAAGGTGCCCAGAGAGCTCTGTTTAAGAAGCTGAATTACAGAATAAATATTGCTCTGGTTTTATAATTAACAAGCAAAGCTAAAGCATTCAACATCTGTGAAAGTACTGAAAAAGACTAGCTTACTTATACTGTTTTATATTTGTAGATTCAGAATTCCATGGTATAAGTCTGTTGTACAGGGATACACAAATGCTCCTCATCTTTGCAAGTCACAGGATAGTTAGAAGCAGGAAAGCAAAGCATTACAACATATGTACATATTACAAGATATGTAGTTTCATATTAATACCATATCCTTACTCTGGAGGAATAAATATCTCTAAAGAAAAATGTCACATAAAAATATGGGTTACTGACTCAGGATACTTCCTCAGTTATGAAAACGTTAACAAAGCTACAAAATGCCTTTGTTTGGTGCAGCTACAAGTTTAGAGTGAAAAACCTTGAAAAACGCAAACTGTGGTTAGTTGAGAAAGACAGTGATGTGATACAAGTCTCCTACTTCACTGATCTCACAGACAAGAAGCTGAAGTTACGAAGTAAAATTAGAGGAATACTGAGGTTCACTGGCTTCAAAACTGCTGAAGAAAAGATATTCATATTCTAATGGTAATAAGTTGCAAAATACAAATTTTAACAGCAAATGTGTGTGACCAGCTGTCACCGAAATAATATCCTAGAAAGATACAGAAGAGCATGAAAATAGAAAAAGGAAGAACTTGACATAGAAATCAAGGATTTTTTTTTTTTTTTTTGGAAGGAGTTTGAGTATTATATAGAGGCCAGCAGCACTCAGTACTGAGATTTGCAGCTCTAATGTCAATAAGTGACTTAGAGCCTGCTGTTATACAGGCTCATGTAAATGTCATTGGGGAAGGGAGAAATGGCTCTGAGTAAATAAAACTCCAAACGATTTGCAGCTCTTTATCTGATTTATTGACAAATGTCAACAGGCAGAGATAACTGCAGACAAAGTGAATGAATACTATAGGAAAAGTAAGACCTCTCAATCAAAAATCTCCTCCTTTTACTTTTTCTCTGTGCTCTAGTGCTTTGTTGCCTTGTGGCAACTGTGCTACAGTTAGGTATTCCTTCTGCAGAAGAACACATGGTTGTGAAAGAAAGAAAGCAAGAATATTTGGAAATGATTTTTCACCTGTTATCCTCCTTTTTCTTGTTTCCTGAAAAGATTGTCTGCCTTTTAGGTAATCATATTAGCAAAATAAATAGGAAGTCTAAAAGCAAAGGCTAATGGTGACCAAAGGTCAAAAATAGAAACAGGTTCCAACTATAGTTGCACTGATATAAGTCTATCAATAAAGTAATTCTAATATCGCAGTTGGTGTTATATAATTTATTAGTTACTGTTCACTGCACCCCGAAAATGTTACTGTTAGTGAAGTAATGCAAGAAGACTCACATATAGAAATTTGAATAGTCAATAGATTATATTGCTATGTAGACTGGCAATTACATATGATACTTTTCATTTCTAAGTCATCAAGTTGCAGAAGTTGGTAGTATTGTGGACTCATTTTTCATTTCGTGGTTCTTCAATGGAAGGTCATGAAACAGTCCAACACCAATAAAAATAGTAGTTAAAGGTGTCCTCATTTCAAATTGCCAACCTTATTTGAATTATTAGCAGAGTTTGAGGGCTGAGTGAGCAGAGACAGTGAATATTCCCTTGATAGTAGGGGTTCTGTGTTTAAGAAACTGTGGAATTTGGAAACTTGGGATTTGCTTCTTTACTGACAAAGTGTTTGATATTTCCTTGTTCAGTTTTTTTTTTTTTTGAAAAATATAGGAAATAGCATTTCCCTATAGAAAGGGGCTATGAAGATTTAAACAAACAAACAAACAAAAACATGGTTTCAAGCCGCTCTTCTAAACCCCTACTGTTTTGGACACTCTGTAAATATCTTCAATAGATGGACCAGAAGTGGCACCCTCATGTGCCTGCTGAGAATTGATGAGGAAGCAAACAACAATGATTCTAGTCCTGTTCCACATAATGTTTGCCCTTCTAGGATGACCAGAACCTTTGGGTTTTTGTGCCCTCAGTCTGGCACTTTTTATGAAGAGTACAGTTCAGATTAAGGTTTGTTAAAGATTTGTTTCTAGTATGAAGATTGTTTACAGGGTATTCAAATGTTTCTCTCTCCCTTTTTATGTCCAGATTGTTTTATCTTTTTACTAAATAGATGGAAGCAATATGGTAACATTATTTATGGACTTTGTTCTAGCATTAACATGAAAATATCTTTAACATGCTAAAACATTTCATCTGTAGTATTTTTCTTTGATGTGGACAATGTGATGAGAAGTCTGTTAGGCCAGTAGTACACTTACGTGCCAGATTTACTGTTAAGAATATCGAGAAAATATTCTGTATATTTCAGGCTACAACCCAGACTGTTGCTGGATCAGGCTCTTAGAGTCTTCATCTTCTTATTTGGTCTTAGAAAAGTCCTCAGATTGTTTGACAGAACTATGCAAACCATAATCTTGTGAAAGTGTGAAAAATGCCATTGCACAAGTAAAAGACAATATACCTGATGACCTGCACAACACCTGCATTATGCTCAGAAAATAACAGCACTCCGCCGTAGGTTTTCTATCAAAAGGAGAGGAATGTGACACCTCAAATAAAGCTGTGTGCAGACTTGGAACATTTGGCTAGCACTTGCTAGTCCTTCTATTCACTGTAAAAGAGCAGGATTCAATAACGGTACATCTGGATGGGTGAGAAGAAACATGAAAGCTCAAAGCAATAGAAAGAACAGGCTGTTCGGAAACAAAAGAAACTGGATTTTGCTTATGACCTTGTATTTCCTATTTATATTCAACATGTTAACCCATTTTATATACTCCAGCTATGTCTCTTCCTTAACTGTCACATTTTCTAAAGAACTCAGTGCAACTACAAACCTGTACAACTATATATAACATATATTGTGAATATGCACAGCAAAGCATTGTAGCTGTCAGTGGAAATGACCATTTAATCTCTCCCTGGAAATGATGAAGGCCAGCTACAAAAGCTTAGTGGCTGAAGTTTCAATATTTTAACTTGCTTTGTTTTTGAATTTTAAATGAATCTTAAATGAAAAGCAAAACCCCTTTTAGCAAAAAGGATAAAAAAAAATGCTCGAAATGAGTAAGAAGTAGTTTGTACAATAGGTATACCCTCATAGCTAAGAAGAGAAATGAAGATACAGTAAGATATGTCTTTGAGAGTTTGAACTCCAATTACTAGTTCACACAAAAGCGATGTTTTCACTGTTATTCATGTTATCTAATTTAAGCTATATAGACATGTGAACACAAGTTATAGTTAAACCTGCCTTTTGCTGTGTAGCATACTCTTAGGAGCTCTTTTTCTTTAAAGCACGTTCTAAAGTCCTACTGACTGAGGTGTGCTTAAGTGGTTTGCCACATATGCCTGGATTGGAGTATATAATTAATGACAAGGTATATATCAACATATGTCTGACACAGGATTAAGAAGCAATATCAGAGCATAAAACTATGAAAGCAAAATCTGAACTGTAGATACCAGGTCCTCAAGAAATCATAACAAACCTTGAACAATATCGCTCGAGAATACTATATCTGTCAGATTTATTTAACAGCAAGTATTGTTTCTTTTTCAGCTCCACTAATATCTCTGTACTAGGGTTATTAATAAATAAGTTGCATTTCCAAATCACTCCTTTGTTCCCTTTGTTTCCAAAAGCAATTCACACACACAATCCTCAATGGCATCTGTATTGTAGGAATAATGTAAACTAAAGGTAACCCAAATGTTTTTGAAGCACTATGCCTTCTAGGTTTAGGAACTTTCACTTAAATATCTATATCGCTCCCTCCTTCCCATGAACTATTCATGCAAGCTTAGTGCATGTAGAATATAACATTCATTGGAGATATTCGGGACCAGGTATATTGCTTTCTCCATAAAGCAGTTTGGTTGGTTGCTGGCTACTCTACAAATGCTGTGATTTATGTACAGTGGTTGCAGTATTGAGCCCCTGAAATGTAACTTTTTCCCACTTACATGGGAAAGGTATGATAGTTTATGTTTAAAAAAGCTTCTCTCGTGTCTTTGCCAAGGTTATGGTGAATGCCTACGCTTCGGTGCAGCAGGCTGTTAAACACATAAACCTTATAAAAGTTTATTTAGCAGATGCTTAATTAGGTGCTTCAGCTACCAGTAAGTCAAAAAGACCTTAGTTCAGATGTTTTATAGAATCAGAATATTAACTGGATTCTTCTTAATTTTGGGTTTATTGACCTTCCTCTTGGAAATCCACAGGACAAATTCTGACTTTATTTATTTTAGATCCAGAGTCACAAATCTTTATGGAATTATTCCAATAATGGGAGTATAAATGACAAAGGATCCCCATGTGAAATGGATGATCTCCAAAAAAATGGGACTGGATGCCATTCTGAAGTCACATGCAGAAAACCACCTAGAAACATAAAACAGTATTCAGCATAGCCTTGATATATTATTGCTATAATGAGGACAAGCATATTCCATTTATCCTTCTGTTCTTGCAAAAGTGGACCTTCTGGTCTCAGGAAAAGCAGAAAATCCTATCCTCTGTTCACAAAGGTCCAAGTGCTTGACTTGAAGATCCAATTCACATTCCCAATAAAGTACAATAGAAGTATTGCTACTGCTTTCAGTAGAAAAGCTAGCTAGTAGAAAACCTGACCTTCATGTAATTGGTTTTGTTCAGAGGTCTGCCCAGTAATTGAACTGGATTTTGCATAGGCCTTATGCATTCATTTTTACAGCTAGGCAGACAGCTAGTAGATCAGTCAAAAGATGTGTTTGACCCTTTGAAAGTGACCGTATAGCCTCTATATTTGTGGAATACGTATTTCACCTTTGAACCTAGCTAACATTGCCAGATCCAAAGCTGTTACTGTGTCCATGGAGGAGTTTGCAACGAGAGACAACAATTGGGAGACAGCCCAATTGATTTGGGAGACAGCCAGCTGACCCTGAAATGCTGTTTCTGTGGCAGCTCTCTGTGCTATATCTTGTTGTGTGCCCAGAGGATCCTTCCAGTAATATTCTTCCAAAATGACTGGAATCCTGTGTCCAAAAGTGAGGACAGATGAAAGCAGCATACAGTGGGGTCTCTGTATCCTTTATACATAGTAATATGGCAACAGATAAGTATTGGAATAAACTGAGATACTATGTACTAGGGCTCTCTGCTTGTTCAAAATCATTGACTTGTAGAATTCCATGGAGGGGACTACAGTTTAGCCCCCAGGCCAAGTAGGCAGCTTCAGAGAGTTAACAGAAAGGATTGCCTGAGTCTCAGAAGCTGAAGATTGATCAGTAATTACTTTAAAAAATCAATATTGTGTTCTGCTGTGGTGTAGCAAGGAAGCTGACAGAACTCAGCAAGCGTATTGAAGGGTTATTTTTTAAAGAGCTGATTCAAAAGAGTGAAAGAGGAACTGGGAGTGAGTTTAGGGGATTTTGGGGGGGAAGGATGACTGGAAAAAGAGAGACAGTTAGGGGCTGTGGAAAGGACTGAGATTATAGCAAAAAGGAAGGAGAAGAATCGGTGAAGTTCTGGGGCTTTGTGGCATCTCTCCACACACTCACTAGCCATCATGCCTGCAGATGACAGGATACAGGACAAGTCTCTCTGCCTCCCCACTTCCCAATAGCATCTCCTCCCTCCGTAGTGCACTCCAAATCCTCCTTAGGACGTAGAGGCCTCTTCTTCCTTGGTGAGAAAAGCTTCCACTGACTTCAGCTGATTTCACTGGGTAAAAACCAGATGATTAGAGTTGTCAGCATTTTCCTTGGGTGTGTAGAGGAAGGTCAATGAAGCCTTTACTACTGTTGTTACTCTGCAGAGTTATGTGGATGCTGATGATATTTGTATAGCAGTTTTAAGATGCCTCCATCAGCTGCTAGAACATATAACAATATATACATTATGTTCTTTACTGCTCTCTGCAGAATACTATTTTTTCTGAAATTTTTTCTTCCCCTCCCAAACAAGGCAAAATAATAATTAGGGTAAACTGCATATAATCCTTTGGGAAAAAATCTTGTATAGCAAGAGTTAAGGGTGTTATTGACTGAACCAGCTGTACAGCATTATGCTGTTTAAACAATTTCTTTCTGCATATGTGTGCTCTGCAAAATTAGGTGTAGAAAACAGCTAGAGGCAAAGCCAGTTGTAACTCTGTAGTATATTAACTATGACATTTAGACCCGATAAAGGTGCGAGCCATATATAATGATTTCATCATACACAATCATGGATTGAAGCTTATTACCAGTTAACAAAGGGACAACTGCTTTTTTGCCCCAGAGAACAGAAGAGTATTCATTGGCAGGGAAGGTTTCAGTTCAGGAAGAACAGTCTGATCTGCTATCATAGGTTTGTTTATGCTAGGAAGATGTACTAAATGAATAAAGATGTTGATTGACAGTTATATTAAGTGTAAATTTGCCCTTACTATGGGCAAGGGCAGATTTGTGTTAACTGGCTGTGTCTGAGATAATCACAAGTAGCCGTTATATTTAAAAACATGATGTATTATTAGATTAAATGGTAAGGACATGTAATGTTTCCTAACCAAAAGGATTCAAAGGGACAAATGGATTGCCAAAGGGCTGATTTTAAATATCATCAGGGAACCCTAAAAAAACTATTCTGTTGGAGGTCACAAGTGGATTGCTTTGTATCAGTGCATCTTTTAGCCTTCCTCACCACTACCTCTCACTTTCCAAGGATAACATTCCCACCTGACAGACTGTTTGCAGTAGGTCAGCACCATAAAATAGGCATTAAGACTTGCAGAGACTCAGGAATGAGTCCAATTCCATATATTTTATAGTAAAATGTAATTATAAGCTAAGAATAGGCAGAATGCTCACTTTTTTTTATAATGTACTTATTTTATACAAGCCCTAAATGACTAACTACTACTCCACATCATGATTTATGGGAAATCACAGGTGTATAGTTAAAGGATTAAAATCATGGGTTTTATAAAACGCACTTTTTTGTTTTACACTCTTCAAAATGTGGTCATACTCTCTGTCTTAACTGAAGTTTCTTATAAATCAGCTGCAGCTTATACTTATGTTGCTGTACTTAACTATACACACTCAGCTATGCTTCTGTTTTTTAGTTAAAGATTCTGAAATGAAGAAAGCCTGTTGCTAACACTTATTCTCAGTACTGTTTTCCTTTATCAAGAACTGCCCTTACATATAAATATCAAAGGTTTTAATACAGATAATTAAAATCATACGTCTAGGTGTTTAACAGACCTTTGTTATTCTTACCTGATCTGATATTACATAATGAGAATCTCTTCAGCAGATGGTGAGGAATCTGAAATCCTCTGTCTAGGAGTTAATGCTATCAGAGGAGCCCCCATTGCTTACCAAAGTGGATAACAGGAGTTTTGAATTGAGTGACTGTGAAATCTGTGTATTCCCAGATTGCTTTTATAGGTTCTGATTCCTTTGCATGTTAGCCATAAAAACATCAGGGCACATCCAGACAACCTTCATTGCCTATCCAATTAGCATCTATCATGTCAGCATGAGTTATAGTGTCCATAGAGTGAGCAGTATATAAAATATGCATTATAAGTGATTTTATTGCTTCTGGCAGTGTTGTACGTCAACCATTGTTACAGAAGGTGGATGAGTGCTATACCTAACATGTGAGATTCTAAGGCAATGTAAAGGAAATTTAACTCAGTCATTAAATTTACTATTGTGCATGTATGCTTGCAATTATACATAAATACTCTCCACAACATTTTTCACATATGCAGTTTAGCACATTTAAAATTACTGCCACTGATCTCACTTATTCAGATTGTTATCACTGCAGCTTTTTTTCAAATTTCTATCCAAAAAGTCTCTGAGAGGTTTTTTTTAAACTCTTTTTGGAGTACAGGTATTATAGAAATAGATATTTAATCTGTTTGTCCTTTTGCTCCTTTTCAGTTCTCACACATGGAAAATTCAATTTCAACATGAACTTTGTCCAAGAGAGGTCTGAAAGGTGAGCCTACAACTGTTAATTATAAATTGAGCTCCAGCAATTTCATACTGTAAAAGCTCTTTGTAGATAAAATGCATTAATAGCACTGTAATGTGAAGAGCCCAGAATGGATACTCTTTGCTGAGTTTTCTTTCCAGAATAATACTCTGCTGGTGAATAAAACAAAAGTAACATCATCAGCCACACAAACAGAACAGGAATACAATTACATTTACTTTATCAATAGCAGCACAAGGTAGATCTGCTGAATCCATCTTTTTTCTTTTGAACATATGTCTATTTGACAAGCTTTGCTGACTATATCCTTTTTTACTTTCTGTACATGCACTTTCTCCTTGCTATACCTTGTATTTTCAGTTGCATTATTATGATGCTCAGGACTGTAGCACTGGTGGTGGTACACAACTGCTATGCTATCACACATGATGGAGCAAGTGACTTAGAAGGCAGGGAAGGGCTTATCCCTCCAGGAAGTCCACCTCTGATACCTGAGTTGATGAGCTCTTCTTTGGTTTCGTCGTGAATATTAAAGGTATTTTCATAGTAAGCTCATCTTTGTCATTAGTGAAACACCTTCATACTTCACGATTCTTATGATCCTTGTTTGCACTGTATTTTTTTTCTAATGGCTTCATATGTTATCCTGTCTCTGTAGAAGAGTTTCGGCATACATGCATTAGGAGATAATGTCTGTCCTGAAAAGCTTGATAATCTATATAAGGGAGGGATCCTGATACCTTCCCCCCACGCTATAAAAGTGGAGCACAAAGGCCGTGGTTTGACAGAAGTCATAAAGAAAACCCTGCAGGAGAGCCAAGAACCAGGACTGGATTTCTTACCTCCCAAGTCAGTGCCTTAACCACAAGCCCAGCCATCCCCTCTTGCTCATGCCGTGGTAGCTGCATTGTAAACCTAGTTTGTAAGTTATGAAGCCAGCCAGTGACAATCATCTGAATAGCACAAACACAGTAACACTGCAAATATGTTAGGCAATAAAATCTTACACACCCAAGAAGCTCAGCTACAGTGCAGGAGTGATACACAAACTAACAAATAAGACAGAGGACTTGAAGTCTTTGAAAAGCAGTATTTCCACTCAGGCAATTTACTGTGGTGGGGGGAGCTTTAAACTAGCACTGGCCTCCTTTCCCCATTGTTCCCGAGTCTTTAGGGATAAGAGATAAAGACTGCAGCTTCAGCACTTGTCTGTCATCATATCCTACGTGTAATTACAGCTCCAAAGATGAAGAAAAGCAAGACAAAGGTGTGAATATTTGGAGTCCATCTTGAAGAATTTATTGGTCCAAAATAAAATTAATTTCTCTTTTGAGCAGCCTCCATATATTCTCGAGAATGGGGAAAACTGGCAAGGAGCTGGCCTATAAAGGAGTGAGAGGAATCCTAATTTAAAAGTGATTGAGAGAGCTCTCTGTCAACCTGATCAGGAAAATAGGCCAGAACAGCCAGTTTTTTTAAGAGCTCTCAAAGAGCTAGGTGTTCCATGTGGCATCTCTATGGATTTCAGCTATGAGAGCAAGTCCAAAGCATGTTTTAGGGTCCTTTTGCTCTAGCTAAAGTTTTTTTTCTTTTTTCCCTTGAGGGAGAGGGCCAGCAGCCAAAATATAGGCTTCTTGTCTTAACCAATCACAAGAACGTATGAGGGGCACTATCTGTTCTATTTTATTTCAGCAAGAAGAGTAGATAGATTTGGATAACATCTGAGCTTGGCTAAATAATAAAGTAGAGCTATAAGTAACACATGAAATTTTGTCACTTCCTTCTATGTGTAGGGTTCAAGAAGAAAAGGCAGGTGAGCCTGTTAATTCATTAACCTGTAATTCATGTACTTGCTTGTAACATGTACTTACTGGGGGAACTGAGGCTAAGGATGGATATTGCTCTGAACACATGAAGAATCATAAGTAGTGGTTCTGAGATAACCAGAGACTGGGAGAGTATTTTGAAGTAAAACTACATATACTGTGAGCAAAAAAAGCACAGTACATTTGGATTTAGAGCAGATGATCCTGATTAGTAGCAATCACTAATTCTTCATTTTCACCCTATTCAACAATTTGTCATGTATATTAATGCAGTCTCTCAGAAGTGAACAAGACTTAGGCAAAACTGATGCAATGATTCAGACAAGTTTTTCACATGATCCCTGTTCAATACCTAGCTTTCAGAGGTCCAAGACCTATTGCTACATGCAAACAGTTATTGGTAAAATTCCCAGTAATTTCAGCAGTATACAAACAGACACTTCCAACAGAGACAATTTAACCTAGGTCCTACCAGGTCCCATCTACCTTTCCTGATACTATTCCTGCTACAAACTAAGTAGTTCTGGTTTATCTCAGCTGTGATAATGAGCAGAGCATACCCAGTGGATTTGGTCTCCAGGCAGGGAACTGTTCCAATACCACATCGGCTGACTCAGATGTAATACTCATGGAGGAGGGGTGGAAAGGAATTGCAGTATGGGTGGATAGCTTCTAATTTCATTTCAGATAGCTTTATATGACCATCTGAATGATTTTTCAAAAGAGATTTTATGCTTTCCACACATTCCATACCATCACAGTAAATTATGTATCAGGCTGAGAGGCAATGAAAGGAATAGAAACCTAACAAGAGAGCATGGCTATATTACAAATGTTAAAAAAACAACATTAAAAACACTGTTGAAGTCAGGCACTTAAAAAGAGAGAAAATGACGGATTTAAGTTTTCCTGTATAATGTTCATTCAGTCTGTATGTGCATATCTATTACAACTTGTTCTCTAATTATATAACTTCACTGTATATTTTCCACTTGACTGCTGTCTTATTCAATACTGAGTTTCCTTTCTTCTTTACTCTTATTACTGCTGTGTGTGGCCCCATGTATTATTTACTTACCGCTTGTCAAATCCTGAGGATAGAATTATTCATTGCTTTTGCACACGTATGATACTAATTGAAAGCTTCACAAATATTAATTAGTTCATTTGTACAGCAATCCTTTAAGCTGAGAGAATATTATTATCACTGTCATTCAGAAGCAGCAATGAGGCGCAGAAAGATAAAGGGTCCTAATGTCTACTGATTTTGGGTACCTAATATAAGACAGCCAGGATTCTGTAATATTTAGCATCAAGTAGCAACATAGCCAGACTGCCTTTAATATTATCTTCAAGTACAGTTCTGAGTGCCTAACACTGCTGCAGGTTAGGCCTGTTGTAGTTGAACAAAGAGTGAGCTAATGAAGCCAGATAGTTCTGTTAACCTTTCTCCCCACATCTGGAGGTAACACCTGCATGGAGTTTTCCTTTCTTTCAGCAAAAGACTGAAAAAAATACATTACCAGAGAGACCGACCTTTTGCGAAAAGCTGACTAGGCTCCTTGCCTCACTTATCTGAGCTTTTGCTTTTGTTTTTGTAGTGAAATTCATTTCACCTTATCTTAGCACCTAAAATTTGGATGTCTATGCTAGTATTCAGCCTTCCTGTAGAGCTAAAGAAGATAAGGGCAGCTCCAGGGGTTTATGAACTGTTCTTGGGAGATTCCTACCTCTCTGTTCCATTTTGCAAAATCCATATTTTACTTTACTGCATGAAATCAGACTATTTTACTACATATAAGAATATACAGCTAAACAAGATTTATGGAGAGCAGTTGGGACATAGAGGTTAATTTGTAACAGGAAAAGAGTAATCGTCAAAGTCATAGGCTAACCAGGTCTGAGAGATGCCTACCAAAAAATCTTGGTGCATTTGTGCCCTCTTTAATATTAACACACTGTTTGTAAGAGTATATCCTGTCCTCATTGTGTAAAGTACTAAAGTCACATTCCAGCAAACACAGCATAGGGAGATTTTGCACCAGCAATTGTCCTCTCGTTTTCACGCAGCCGTGAGAAGTGTGCTCTATCTTCATTACCTCAAACATCTATGTCCACAGTGAGCATTACTTATGCCTTCAGCCTGGCACCAATCCTTGCAAGAATTTCTTCAGTAATATTTCTCTGCACATTATTCATATGTGCTTTTTGTCTGATAACGTAAGCGATGAATGTGGTCCTGTAAAAGAAGGTAATTAACACCACATTAGTTTGTACAAAAGAAACAGCTGACGAGCACCAGTCTTCTGTGGTAGCCAGTTTGGGGGCAGAAGGCTGTCCCTCACTCAAACACAGGAAACGTGGACCTTAAGGGTAACAAGATCTTGAAGACGAGTGACTGCAACATCTTCACTTTGGAAACTACTAATGCCTTTTGCATGTCCAAGTGAAGCTGTGTTATGCAAGTGATTGATTGTGCATCTGATGAATAATTTCTGTGTAGCATCATTTGTAAACACGTTACTTAGGTATTTAAATACTTGTTTCACACTAGTGTCTCACTGGATATGAACAAAAATGAAATAAAATTTGCAAAATAAAGCTAGACATTTTAAATCAGGAAAATTAAATTATTATCAGAGTGCAAAATTACTTGAAAGACTTTAAAGAAATTCAACAGCTGCTGAGAAGAAATTAATTTAAAATTTTTACATGATGAGAGTGTAGAACAGCAACAGAATAACTAAAAACATTTTTCAGGCTTGCAAAGTAGTTTGGTGTCTTTGCTATACTATTGTCAGGACAGATCGCGGACAGATCTGTGAGAACAAGTAAAATGAGAAGAACGTGAAAATGAATTTGCTCTTTTAAAATAGCAGAGTCCTCTTGCATAATTTAAGTAACTATGCCTAGAGGATGCTGCACAGGATTACAGGATTGCTGGTCATTTACAGGTTGGTCCCAAACATCTCTATTGCTATGCAGTCTTTGCACATTATCCCTCCCAGAATTACAGTCCATAAAAGAGCTCATTACTACTGTTTGCTCACTGATTGCTGCTGCTCGTTATTGCTTCATATGCCCAGGAAGTATGAAGCATAGTTTAGCAACTGAAGGCGCTAATTCTTGCTGCTGAGCAGAAAGGGGACTGCTCTCCAAGAAATTACACAGATGCAGGTGGGAGAGCTAAAGTTAAAACAACAAACAGACAAACAACATCAAAGTGGAGCCTGCTACTTTACCTCCCAGGGAGGAACTAGAAAGCCTCATTTAGGTCAAATGTGTTTAACCCTAAACTGTTGTACACAAAAAATGCAAAACCATTGCAAAAAAAGAAAATTAACACTGCTCCAGTGGAAAAAATGCAATAGGCTGTAAACCACCGGTATGTGACTTAATAGTCTTTCATTGTTCTTAATCCTGTTATTGTTTTCCTTGCTATTTGTTTCCACAGCAAAATTCCAGAAAATGAATAGCAGTGAGAGACTGTGGAGTCCATCTGAAACTGTCCAGCGGTTCTTTCTCTCCTAGCTTGTTGCTACTTCTTTGATATCCCCGCTGAATTCTATGCGAATAACAATGTAAGTAGGGAGTTAATGAACTGGACAGGCAATCACTCATTATTCAGGATCCAGCTGCCTTTGACCCAGTATATTTTGCTGAGTGAGAACTTGCTTGTGCACTAGTAATCAAATTTCCTGTTTCAGAACATTCCTTTCTAACCATTATGTCTTTCACCCTCATCCTCTGCCTCTAACTTCTTCCTTCCATCAGTCATTGTCCATATAATTGAATATGTTTTGAATTGATGCAGAATGCCAACACCACTCTAACTCATTTGACCGGATGTCAATGGATATGGTAAAGTTGTATGTTAGAGGATATGGTAAAGACTGAATGAGATTCTGCCAGGTTTTTTTGTTTTGTCATTATTTTTCTAAGAAACACAAATCTCTCTCTCTTTTTTTTTTCCTAGACTCTGTGGCATTGTTTGGCATTGATGGGATCACTACACATATGCAAGTGTACAAAGCAGGCCAGAAAATGTGTTTTCAGATTTTTCAAGCATTAAAATATATGAACAGAAGCTCAAAGTAGAAGTAACAGTTTTAACTTTCAGACATAACACTTCTTTAAAGTGTTAACTACTCTTGATTCATGTCTATGGAAAAACATAACTGTCCAAGTCTTGTAAATTAAGATGCACAAGAAGCTTAATCTCTGGTATTAAGAGAAGTCTGGCCCAATGGAAAGTACTTCTGAGCTAAACCTGTACTATGAAAGACTTTTAAGATCAAGGACTTAAATTCTGCACTGATATACACTATGTACAATTCCAGTGGAGATAAAAGAATTATGTGGTTCACATATGTCAAAATTTCATTCTCAGATTTAACTAAAAACTCGATCTACAAAAAAGGGATTTGTAACATCTGAGATTTTACAACTCCTGCAAGCTTCCAGACATCACCAAAGTCTGTAAATGAATCAGAGTATGGGAATATTGTTCTCCCTGCAGCAGTGAAGGAAATAACAAGTCTGACATAGGAGCCAGATTTTGATTGGCTTTTTCAGTGTGGAGAGGCAAGGGAAAGCAGTATTTCTGCCAGTGCAGAAGGCCTTAGAAGGCCTTCCTTCTAAGACTGGAAACCTGTGAAGGGCTGACTTTGTGATACAGATAAGTGGCCCATAGAAATAAGACATGATTTCCAACTTATTTCACGTCACCCAGTAAGTCACCATATGGAGATAGCTGTGTCACCATCAATCCACTATCAGTCCCTCTAAACTTGTGATTTTGGCACAATCCTTCCACTGTCAATACTCAGCTATTACCTTGTCAGTTGCAGAAGCTAATCAAAACAGTTAATTCCCAAGTTATATTGATACAAACTACACATGTATGTCATTTCAGAAAGGAATCATTCATTAACCACAGCAAACTTCCTGTAAATCTTTCACAGATCACAGCAGTTGCTCTTTAAGGACTTTCTGGATGAACTACTTTTATGCTGAAATCAGTAGCTGGTCGCCATCCAGACCAACATGTGAGCTCTCAGCCCAAATGAGTTCTGGGCTGAGTGATCTTTGCTTGACTCTTGGGAACTTAGTGATCTTGGTGATGCATGGTGGTGGATGACCCATGTAATGACATTTTGGAGACATTTTCATGGCTTCATGGTGTTAAAGAAAAATCTCACAGGATTGGTTCCAGTTTTGCCTACAAGACCCAGTCAAAAGAATGTGGGATGCAGAAGTGCAGGATGCTTTAAACCAGGAGCTTAATTTAGCCTGAAGAAACATCCAGCACCAAAGCCACAGGCATCAGCTAAAGCAACAAGCTATCTTCGTATCAAGGGCCATCCAGCTGATATCTCAGTGCCAGCAAATGCTCAGAAAGCATTTCCTATAGTTCTACAATTCCTAAATAAATGGGAATTTGTCTTCTATAAAGTAGCTGTTCAGTCTTAAACCTAGCACTCATGTCATAATACAGTATTTTCATGGGTAGCTGAACAGTGAAGTGTGTTCAGGTATACCCTTAGTCCATTCCAACACTTCAACATAGTGAAAATTTTAAATCTCAAAATACAGTTAGCAAGTTTAATTATTTTCCCCCAAATAAATATTTTGACAGACATATTCAGAGCTTCAATACACCACAGTTATTCAGTTCACTCTAGCTATTTAACTTCTATCTTAACCTTGTTCTCAGGAGAAACGGCATCAAAAATGAGATCAGTTTTTCTTTGTGCCAATATCAGGTTAGTTTGTTTTGTGGGTCATTTAGGTCTAGATTTTCCAGCCCTTATCCCTAGAAGCCTTAGACAGTACCTAATTGCAAACCACAGAAATGTTCCTATTCCTAGAACTTCACACATGAGATTTTCAGTATTTCTATGAGGTTTAACACTGTTAAAAATAAAAACATGCAAACCTGAAGATCTCTTCCATGAAACTCGAGTTACACATTCTAGTGAAACAAGTGAGCACTTGCTATGAAGCTTAAACAAGTCCAAAATAAATAAACTAATCTTCCTGTACTTAACTGCCTTGAGTTATTCCTATCACCTCTCAAGTCAAGACTTCAGTGAGGGAGAGGAGGAGGAAATCTGAAAATTAGCATTCTTCTTGGAACACTAGTTAATTTTTAACTGGTGAAAAATAAGACTATTTATACAGCAATAGTGCATTAGATCCTACCTGCCAGTGGCAAAACAGAGCTTTCAAGCCCTTAGGTGCTTTATTCTCTTTTAATTGTTCGTTTTCTCTTTACTGTTCATCTGTGTGCAAGAAGTGAACAGATTACTATCACTCAATAAAATAATATAGTTTGCTTTTTATAGCACCGTCAAGCATTTGTGAGGCACAGATGCATTTGCCTGTAACAGGCATAAAAATGTTTAGAAAAGCAGTCACATGAATAACAAAGCAAATATTTGTAAAGATTTCCATGATAGCACTTTAAAGTTTTTTTTAATTATAATAACAACTTGAAATTTTAAAATTATTGCCATACCAGGTGCACTTTGAGTCTATTGAGTGCCTATACATGTGTTGCTCTGAAAGAAGCTGCCGTGTTCCTACCATCCCTCATCCTCATCCTTCATATTGCCTTCTGTCATCTCAATACATCCAACAGAAGTCTTGTAACAATAGATGTAATGTGTCACAATGACACTCCTTTTTATACTTATCTATATTTCTTACATAGCCTCCTAATGTAAAAGCAAAGACTTGATTCTTAGTGCAAAAACATATAATTAGTTACAACCAAAACAAATTAGCTTTCCCCTAATTAACAGGTCCCTAAAACTAGGAGGTCGAGTTTTCAGTTACAAGAGAGCATCAGTGCCCTGAAGAGATTTTCCAAGAGATTGGGCAAACCCAACCTTTTCCAGGCTGTGAAGGACATGACCCACAGACTGAAGCCTTCCTTCCGTTAAGTTGGCCGTGTAACAAAAGAGCCCTTGTAACCTGCAGGAGTTTTATAACAGGGCACAAAGTCTTGCTACAGGAAGAGTTAGGTTGTGATTCATTGCCCAGCATAAACACTGGGTGACTAGAATGAGACATTAACTTTAAAAAAACCCTCAATATTTCTCTAAAATAAAACACTGTATCTGCTGATTAGACACTTGCAGTAGTTGTGATTACGTTTTTAAATGCTTCAGAGCTTACGTATGTCCAGATCTAACAGTCCAGGTAAAAGGACAATTTATAGCTCTAAGAAGTAATGTACTCAAAGTGACACCAGTAGGAGATGATAATTTTCTGGCTCAACAAAAATATATTAAATGCTGTGGTAAAAAAAAGCTCTAATTTTTTTACCATCAGTTTCCATATGTGTCACCTCAAGTCTCATTCCCACCTACAGTTTATGTTGCTGGATATCTCCAGTATCACCACAAAACTTAAACTCCCACAGTGGGTATAACATTGTCAGCACTCTTACAACTCACTAAGTCCTGCTTTTCCTTACATTTCTGAGATATTCCCAAGTTTGAAGGGACAATATCTCTTTTGAATGATATGTCAGGTAGGTCATGGGTAGTATAGCTGAGTGGTTTTGGTAAGATTAATTGCAATGTTCTGCCGAAATTCATTTGGGTAATTACATGGCTATTATCTGAATTTAGCTCATTAGCTTCCACTAAAAGAGTTCTTGCCAACTTTATCCTGCAATTTTTTTTGCATTTTCCCCTTTTCAGTAGTTACTGAGTTTCTATGATAGTTGAAATAGCTATTCCTTGAGAAATCAAGCATACAGAGAATTGCAACAGTGCAATCTATTATTTTAATAAAATTCTGTCAAGCAGGATCTGTATTTCTTTAAGATATAAATCAAAAGTTTGCTGTTCTCAGTTTGTGCACCTTACAGTTTTTGCCTTAGTCACAGCTTTCACAGGATGACTGCTTTCTGTATTTTCTGTGATTTCAACATGAATCAAATATGTTTTCCCCCAAAAAGTTACTGAGGAAGAAGCTAATACTTGCTTGAAAATGGCCTTCTGTAAGCTAGTCTTGGGGCATTTTTTCTCTTTGATTTGTCTTTCCATACAAGTATTTCACAGACTTGTATGATATCTGGTGTTAACACACAGCAAACAGCTTGTGAATTGAAATTTTCTTTTATTAGCTATGTTTTTGTCTCACCACAAGATGTCATTGTGACACATTTATACTAGTAATGTGTTAAACACAACTTTTTGCAAATTACCAATGGATCACAGATTTTTCTTTCAAAAAATCCAAAAAGATATTGAGACCATAAATGTGTGCTGTTAGCAAGAGAAGGCAAAGACTGACAGTGCAACGCAGCTATAATTAACTGTCTCACTTCAAAGCAATTTTCCAAAGAATAGTTTTGCAGTCTTTCCCAAATTATTCAGTTGTTTCCTGTTTTTGTGCACCCAGAAGCGTGTCATGCTGTAAGCAGTAAGGACTCACTGCCTGTTCTACTTGGGGGAAAAAAAAAGAGAAATTTAAGGTATGGAGCTAACAATTAAGGACATTGATCCTCTCTCTGTTTTAACTAATCAGTTGCTGCATGAGCTTGGTAATTTCAAATTTTCTGTCTGTTTTATGCACCTGGTGTTTAAAGATATGTGCATCATTGTATTAAACATTAAATGAAATAATTTTCTATATTATAACCTTAATATCTGATTTATATTTTATTTATATTATTAATGTTATATATTATATAATGTTGTTATTTCTATATAATGTCATCAAATTCTTATTAAGGAAAATAATAACAATAAAAAATGTGGTCAAATAGCCTACAGAGCAGTGAGTGCCACAGTCCCTGGTAGGAGCCCCAGTTTTACTCTCCTGCTTTGTCATTGTGGGCCAATGAGTACCAAACTATTCCAGGCTAACAGCAGGAGGGAATGAGGGACTCATTCCTATCTCTATTTCCATAAAAGCCTAACATTTGGCTAGTAAAGTCTTCCCTTCAGAGTGTCTGGGCCCTGCAAAAGAGAGGGACTGACTCTCTTACACTTCCACTGTCTCATTTAAACAGTTTGCACCTCAGTTTTCTGGATGCTGCCTCTTTCCATGGATGGCCTACACCTCCACTGCATTGCGGGAGAGCCGGCTGTGGCAAAAACCAGCCCTGCACACAGGTGTGGTATCACTCAGCAATGCCATGCCTGAAGTCCATCAGCAGACTGAGCCCTCCTTTCTCATTTTACTTTCAGTAGGATTTTAGTGTCTCACAGCCGCTTGGCTCTTTGAAAATCAGAGCTTAATCACTCCAGGTAAAGAAAATTAAGCTACACGCTAACATTAACGGACCAAGCGTGCAATACCAGCGTCATACACCAGAGAGCGGGAATGTTCTTTTACGAGATGATCTGTTTAGTATGACCTCACTTAAGATGACCTCAGTAATCAATTTGTTTAATACATTGTTTGACTGAAGCTTGCTAAGCTTATTTGAAGAGCATATCATAAACATCAAACTTCAAAAGTTCCTCATTATTGAAGCCCCATGTGCATATTTAAATTTGAAAGCCTGAAAATATATTCTAAATTGCTGGGAAGTTTACATTTCAAGTGCATTTTGTTTTTGCACTTGACATATTCTCCTTGTTAGCAGCAAATAGATAAGAAAGATGGAATTAATTCCTAAGCTCTTTAGGTGGAAAACAGAGGGTAAAGGAGCCTGAACTTAGGAGAGACCAAGATGAGAGAGCAGAAAGGAACCCCTCTGCTCTGCCAAAACTACAAGGTTACATTACCAAAATCTTTCAAATTCCTAGTCCTGCAGTGTAGGAAGGGATCCTATAAACAGAGCCTTGCATAAGGCATGAATTTAAAGGGAATTCAAAGCATCTTTCATGCTAATTAGATCAGACACACAGTTCTAAGTATGCTTAACATAGACATTGAAAAGACAGAAAAACTAACACAACTGTTTCTGGGAGCAAACATAGCTTTCTCACAGTGAGCTATCCTAACATCATTTCTCTTTACATTTAAAGTGTACGTATGAACCTCACATAGACAACTTTACCTTTTTCTGGAGAAGATGGGAATGGCTAAATAAAAAAACAAGATAATGCAGTATTACAGCACAGTACATTTAAATACTGAAGTAAATACTGAAGTAAAATACATCAGACTATCATCAGAGAATTCAATAGAGACAGCTATTTAGCAGTTTCTAAAAGCATAGCATCTGTTCAGTCTGGTAAAGAACAACCAGCTAGGCATACTGCTTCACTTCACGGTTAAAGTTTCCCCATCAAGTGAATCATTGGCTTGCAAAATAGAAAACAGCTGCTGAACAGAGAATGGGCAAAATTCCAGGTTATTTTTATCACTATTTTAGCAAACCATACATTCAGAACTGCATTTTTAAATTATTTCTGCTGGACAGTTTGACAAGAAAAGAGCCAACAGTTAAATAAAGTATCATACTCTCTCCTTTCCCACAATACTCCATTAATCAAATGGCCATTGATCTAAGGTAACTTGAACTTTTGATCTACCTTTGGTAATTTCCTTACCTTGCAAAGCCACCTTCATATGTCTAAAATAAAATAGCTACCTTCAAACCTTAATTATAGATACCTCCAGTAACCCTGCTCTGTTATCCAAGCAATTCCTAAGTTTATTTCTGATGATAACTATTGAAATTCGACTGTCTGTTTCTTCATGATGCTGCAGTCCATTAGCAACCAAAGATCCCATATGAACTGGCTTGCCATTTTCAAGATAATGGAAGATATAAAGACAAGAAGAGAGGGAGGGAGCTGTGATGAAAAAAAGCCAAAAAAGTAAGAATAAAAGTATCTTGTTGATTATTTCCAGCATTAGTGCAACTGAGGGGAATAAACAATTTCTCTCTCAATTGCCACAGTGCATTTTGCTTCCTGTTCCTAAGCCTTGCTAGAGGAATTTTCTAGCAAACATATTTAAATTTGGAAATGCTTTTCCCACATCAACTGCACTTTTCTCTTTGGTCTTGTTAACCAAACTGTTAACACATTCCGGGCATTATTTGCTCTTAGACCACAAGTTATCAAGGAGGTTGTTACTCCACAGCAAGCCTTTGAGGTCATCAGTCCTGTTCCCCACACGTTAGCCCAGATCACAGATTCAAGCTATTAAGCCCCAGAAGAGGAAGACTACTGGGACAATGGGATAACATTAGGGATTTGGAGGTTTCTTGAATACCATTCTAGGGAAAAATAGCTTTACCCTCTCTTGGAAGCTGTGAAACATGAACTTGTGCTATAATTCTGCCTGTGCTCTTGAGTCAGACTCCCTGACACGCTTAGGAAGACTCTGCTGTGCTTGTAGGTCACTAAGGTTGCAGAATCAGTTGTTCAGCCACCTCCCCTCTGGGAAGGGACCATTAAGTTTCCCTTCTCTCTCTAATAACATTGTTAACAATGCCCGTTTATCACCTGAGTACAACCTGTGCTACAATGCACTTGATAACTTTACAGTTCACCTAATGTGAAATTCATTCTATTCATACTGTCAAGCTAATTAAATTCCTTCTCTCAGTAATTTTTGTATTACATTTAGAAGAAATACAGTTTATAACTGTTACAGTTCATCCCTTGGAAAAATAGTATCATTAAACTTCCTTTTAAATCAAAGGACCTTTCACATTATTTGTCTTCTCATTATTCATAATGACAAACAGCACAATATTGCAAGACTAATCAGAGGTGCATTAAAACATCACTTTTATTATTTATGCATGAAATTTGTACATGTGAAAACTGTTAAAGTAACTCAAGACCCAAGTGCTATAAATAGTGCTCTATTGTTAGTGGATAGAAGATGGAACAAGTGTCCTGGCACTGGAGTACGTCCTATTAAGTGTTACGCTCAGCCTGTGCTAAAAGTGAAAGGCTACATCAACTGATAAAACTAGTCCGCAGGCAAAGCACATGACTGGAAAGAGCTTGGTCTGACTCTGTAGCTTTCCCTAAGCAACACAGAAGCAGCAGCACCTTATCTGTCTGCCTCAGCAATGGAAGAAACAGTTATAAGACACTGGGTGGAAACTCCTGTGCGTTACCAAGAAGAGTTTGCAGTTCAAGAGCCAGAAGCATTCAAACTGGATCACTCCCTATACGCTTTGCCGGGCCCTTCTACAGCTGCGCTGCGCAACAGAAGGCGTATCACAGAAAGTACAGCTGGGGCCGAGAAGAGCAGCCAGGAGGAGGAAAACACAAGCTTTCAGGTCTTACTGGATGTTGTGCAATTCCGCCCTGAAGATATCATTATTCAGACTTTCGAAGGCTGGCTGCTAATCAAAGCTCAACACGGACCCAGGATGGACGAACATGGTTTCATATCCAGAAGCTTTACTAGGCAATACAAACTACCTAATGGAGTGGAGAACAAAGATTTGTCTGCGCTTTTCTGCCATGATGGCATTTTGGTTGTTGAAATGAAGAAGCCAGGGGGACTGAATTAAATTTTTGTGAATAGTTTATTGGTGAGATAAAATTATTCTTAATATAACAAAATAATGTAGCTCAAGCAATGCTGTAGAATGTAGTCAAGCATGTGGCTGTATTTATATTACAAATAAGGAAAATCTTTGTATATATTTTTCAGTATGCTGAGTTTATTGTTTGATGTGGAATTAGACTGCTTGCCTCCAGCTACATATGTACTGGAAAGCCGAGCTTTTTGAACAGTGGAAAATAATTTAGAGTAGCAAGAGAAAAAAATTGTATTTGATAAGATACTGAAAATAAAGCATATTTAAGAGGTCTGTTAAGCAGGAATTGTATTTTAAGGAATAAGCATTTTTAATATATATTAATGGGATGAGTCACTAAAGAAGCAATAGACAGGTTGTGAATTTTATGGAAATTTAATTTACATACCAAAAATGCTGTTTCCTATTAATTAATACTTCAGATTTTTTTTTTCTTTCTTAGTCTCTGGAAAAGCACAGAAACTGAAGAATACTATCAAGAAAAGAACCTGTTTCCACAGCGCAAGCTTGTATACAAAACATCCTTTAAGAGATTTCTTTTTAAAAGTGTGTTGTATGTTTGAAACTATAAAATAACAGAATAATCACTGACTCTATTTGTTTGAAAACTCAGTAAGTAGTTATAAGTAAGAAAGTGAGTATACTTTCTGTCAAAGATTAATTTGAAAGAAAACTTTCAAAGGCATTTAGAAAATTGTTTTTGTTTAATGTATTCTGCTATCTATCAGCAGCTGAAGAAAAAATATATTACTTATGAATAAAATATTCAAAAGGACCAAATTCTTCCTTATGAAATTCTGCTAATCAAAAAGCGTTAATATAGCATGGATGCCTTAATTATTACACATTTTAGGTAGTTTGTTGGTGAATCAGAGTAATATTTTATTCCTCATGTTGCTTGGCAGTTTAGGGCAAGATTCTACAACTGTGTCTTCAAGAGCAAATTCTTCTGCCTATGTGTAGCCCCACTCTCCTTATATCAGCATGGGCTCTACATGAATCTAATTTTAAGTGTGAGGATTCTGTACTACAAACACAGGTTTAATTTCTGTCGCAGTTTCTCTCATTTCAAAAGAGTAGTAGAGCTGAAAAAATAATCTGCCCCCTATACCTAGTATCTGGTCTTCTCAACATAAAAAAAAAAAGAAAAAGAAAAAATGCTCTAAATGAGTTTGTAAATACTCCAACATTTGAGGAGATCTGCAGCTGCAAATCCAACTGCCTTCTTTTATGTGAACTGAAGATAAGTATGACTGGTGGTGCTATGAATAGTAAAGGAATGTGAAATGGAAAGTGCCAAGTTAAATACAGACTCTTTATGATAGCCATCTGCTGTTTGGACAAATTGAAAACATATTCAAATGAAATTGCATACAAATACAATTTTAAGAATATAAAAAAAAAAATCTGATGAGCAAAACTCTGGCTCTCACTGGCTGAAGCCAGAGTTCCTTTAGTTTAAAATGAAAGCCCTAAGCTTGTACTTATGCACATGTCTATTCATTAGAAAGGATTATATTGTTATTCTTCAGGCTTGATGGCATTTGAAAGCAATTGACTTTAAGAAACAAGGGTAGTCCGATCCTTGCATTTTATTTCTTGTTTGTAGTAAAACTCCCAAGAACTTATAGAAGAAATGCAGAATCCAGTTCTGGACAGTAAATTTCCATAATGTACAATTATTTTCTTTTGTGAATAGAGCAGAAGTCAAGAAACTCATATTTTCTAACAAACCAAACTAAATATAAAGCATATGTCCCTACATTCCAATCAACCCACACTTTTCCCTCACGTTGCCTTTGTTTAATTTATGTATCGGTTTAAGAAAATGAAAGTATGGTCATGATAGAAAATTAGATCTAGATTCTAACGCTCCTAGGTCAAGAAGCTTCCTCAGTCAGGAACCTGATGGAACATATAATGGATTAAAAATTGGGAATTCTAGATACAGACTTAGATTTAAACTTTAAATGGCAACACTTTTAGAAAAACTTTCATGTTTAGACCCACGGTTTCCATATCACCTGATAGCACAGGTATAGATAGTTCAGATATGGTTCAGAATCATCAATTCAGAATTATCAATGCTTTGGTGATTTTTATTTACAGAGAATCTTGTAAATCTGATCATTTAAAAATATAGGTCTATATAAAAATTATTCTACCTATGATTGTGGTGATGGTATTCATATCACTGGAGATGAAAAAGCACTTTTACAAAGCCAGGACTGATTTAACTGTTTTAAATTAGATCATGATTAAACTACTGGAAACGTGGCAAGGAACTAGACCAGACAGCCAAAATGATATAATCTGTTCTATGTAAGTAAACACCATGGTTACACACAGCTCTGCTTATATATACACAGGCCTGTCTCACAAAACTGGATCGAGATTTTGACATCGTCTGTCTATATGGTAGGCCTCTGTGTTACTCTGTTTCTGATTCTGTACTTGCCAACAACGTTGTCAGTCAGAAACCAGTGGAATACACTGACCTAAACATATCAGGGATGTACAGGCATATTTTACCTTCCCAATCTCTAGTACCCAGAGCTTTACAAAAGTGTGAATCAGTGGTTCTTTGTGAATGAGAACTTGCTTGTTGGCCCTGGGCCAGCACCAGAGTGTTCGTATGCTTGGGATCATGCCAGAATATATATCTGCCACTCATTTCCTCTATTTTACCACTCAGTATGACAAAAAAGGTGTCTCCGCCATTTTTTAGTGATAGTTTGTTGAATATTTTTGGAGGAATGATTTCTAAATGTTTACCAGAACAGCCTGAAAGTACTTGGCAGAGCATTTCTACATTGTTTGTAAAGAGCTATTTTCACAGATTATATCTGACATTTTACTGTTATAATCTGATTAGTACTGAATGTGAATAACAGAGCGAGTTGTTAATATTGCTTATGGGCAGAAGAATGAGAATTTTATAAACAGCAAAGGATTTCTGAACAGCAATAGCTTGAGACAGGTTTAAGACAGGCTGACCTGATTAAATTAAAAGCCCTCATATTGGCTGTCCACAAAATCCTGGCCCAGAATAAGCAGTATCTGCTGCTGTAAGCGCTGCAGAGCTAGTGTTATTGAGCCTTCTCAATTCCCGTTAGTGAAGGATTACCTTTGTAATTGATCAGATTGCTCCTCCAAATGGGTAAAGATGATTTCATGCATGAATGTAAGCACTATAAAAAATGCTTTCACAGAAGAAGAAAATGTCTCAATATCAGCACTAGTCAAAAGCAAGGTCACAAATGTGATTCTATGTGATCCCTGTGGGCAGAAAGCCCACAAATTCCCTGGACTTAGTTGCCTTTATATAGTATCTGCTATATCCAGGGCATTTTAGATCTCCCTACACAATCTGATACTTGTAGTGCAGTGAACTGAGGCAGACGTGATACTCACTGTTCACTCATTAGCACTCAGCTACAGCCCTGGATATGGGAAAAGTGGAAAAGAAACTGCTGTTGCATCATGGTAGCAAAATTCCCTTTAAAAGGGGCAAGTCTTGTATTCCTTATTCAATTCACAGTCAGGAAAAAATTCCATCATACTGTGTTTTTTCATCTGAGTAAGGCTACAACATTTGACTTTTAATGGGAATAGGGATGTTTTATATAATATCGGTTACACCTCCTCCTGCCTGAAAGAGACACTGACCTTTGTCTTTGCTCACTGCAAGACAACGGCTGGCCCCTGTCATCTAGCGGACAGCATCTGAATGGCCCTGCCCTGTGAGCACAGGGGTAAGTCTAAGGACTAACCTCTTACAGTGAGTAGGACTGATGCAAATGAGACCATCAATTAAAATTTCTCTCTCTTTTTTTTTTTTTCAGTTTGTTTACTGTGCTTTGGGCTATCCCCAACCCTGGTGATTGCCATGGTTCTGCTGCTGAAGCATGCCTTTCCCAAGCCCTGTAAGCTAACATAGAAGAGGCAGCAGGCAGGACTGTGTACAGAGAGGTGACAGAAAATTGCAGGACAGGGTAGGCCTGGGCACATAGAGGGCAAGGAAGCCCACCAAAGATGTGTCAGGCAGGAACAGGGAATAGGAAAAAACCTAAACTGTTTCAGAATATGTATTTATATATTTTCAAATTTTAAGGCATACTATTTAAACCTGTGTAGTGAGAACACCTGCAAAAGATCTGGTGAGGAGTCAATGACTGGCAGAGTATGTGGTAGCAGGCCCAGCATGTGTGAAACTGTACACCGACCAAATTCCCATCAGGGCCAGGCATGCATATTCTGTTTTGTCAACAATATCTAGCCGCTTCCCGGACAGTAGTTTCTCAAGGTTAGCACAGCTTGAGATAAGGAAATAGTTCTAGTAGAGCAGAGGGGGCCCTTGGGATGCAACAAGTAGAGTCCTACCTCGGCATCCCACCTGTGTGTCCAGCAGCCTCCCATCAGCAACCTCTCCGCGTGGGTCCTGGGGCTCCCCATGCAGCTTGGAGTGTAATTAAGTCCTTTATTAAAACTATCCTGTTCAACCCCTCATGAACTCTGAGTGTCTCTCTACGCTGGTATCTGACCCTCTTTTGCCCACATTGCGGTCACAACCCGCTATAACAAATATTGGACTTTTAATAAAGTAAACATTTTTTAAGAGCTGAGAAGAGCATTTCAAAATGACTTTAACTAAAAAATTTAGATTGTTAACAGAAAAGGAATACCACACATGGACTAAATCCTTGGTGTGCTAAAATGAAAGAATAAGTCACTGGCTATCTTCAGCTATGTTTCTTTCCAGTTGCACATCCCCTTAGTTTTCCCATGCAGTAATTCTACATTTTCATCACATATGCAGAGATACCATAGCAGAATTTCCAATATTTTTCAGCCAACATATTAGATTCACCTGCTCATAGCAGAGTTAGATGACATACAGGTTAAAGTGCCATTTCCTATCTAAACTAGCCATTCCAAAATTAATACAGTCAGGTCCTCATTACGTCTAGATGACTTACTGAATCACGGTAAGCTCTTCAACAAGGGCAGCTATCCCTCTTGTTGACTCTGCATGGAATTAGTTTGGCACAGTAAGACTTGCTCATTCAGGTGCCACTATATTCCCTTCCAGGCCATCTTGGGTCTAGCTCTCTTATATCACACTATGGATGCAGCACAGAGCTCAGCTGGCTATTTGTGCAGCTAGTTCATGTGTCCAAACAGGGCTTCTGGAAATGGAGGAGCTTAGGAAGCACAATGCAGAAATACCCAGCTGGTTCCACTACAGCAGTGGTTGTTAGCTTGGATTTAGTGTTGGGCACAAGTAGTTGTTCCCTGTGTTTTTGTGACACTGCACAAGTAAGAGCCTGGGGAGCAATACAGAGAGGCACCCAGCTTGGATCAGCACAGGTTTTCGGGTTCAGAGTCAATAATTCCTCTGTTATTTGTTCCACTCCACACTTTCTAGGATAGCTCACTCTCTACCTAGCCTGAATACTGAAGATAACTGTTCCAGAGATGCTGCAAGAGTGCAATGCTGTAGGAATTAAAAGCAGACATAGCTTTTGTGTGTGAATGAACTAATTTTGAGTTTAGATGTTGGATTTAAATCTGTCTACATCTTACCTAAAGCTGATAACACTACATCAGAGTTACAATGAAAAACTAATAAAGGCAAATGATTTGCAGAGCATGGTTTGACAAATATAAGCATAATACTCACAATCCCTTGGGAAAAAAAAAAAAAGCCAGAAACACAAGATCT